AGGAATATTTTTGCTGGACAATAATCAGGTAAAATGCGTATTTGCGTGACATTTTCTGTCACGCAAAAAAAAACTGGCGTGACTTCACATTTTCCAGCAAATGCGTGACAAATACGCAAATTGCAGGACAGTTGGACGGCCTGCAGTTAGGTGTCAGTAAAGAGTAGATTAAAATTCTTAACAACCAACACACTCCCTAGTTTAGGCCATACACTACCATAGTATATTTTAACATCTCATGTAACATCACAGCTAGGCGAATGTGACCCCGGTTGTTACAGCTTCACGAAAAAATAAGCAGCACTTTAGGCCACCTTAAATATGTAAGGAATCAAGAGAAACTAATGTACCAACAATTAAATTATAACCATCATCCCAACATCACTTTAAAAGTACTAAAATGGTGAAAAACTGCAGAATAGTGATGGAAAATGTGGCTAGGGGATAAGGACATCTCTCACCCCCCCCCCCCCCCCGACTAGTAAATGTGGTATGCCAAAGTCCAATTCAGTTCTACATATGCTAGGTTTTGCAGTTTTGTTGGCATTTTTAGCTAACATGGTGAGCTATTGCAATCACTCACTTGTTAGCTAACATGGTGAGCTATTGCAATCACTCACTTGTTCGCATGTCTGTCAACAATAGTGGCACGTTTTAAGTTATTTCTGTTCAACATCAGAGAGATTTCGCACCTAGTGAAAGTACAACTTATAACGTATACTTATACTTATAGGTAAACATACAAGGTGTTTCATAATGTGGGCTTTTCGTCAGGAAAGATCTTCTCGGACTGTAATAAATACAGGTCAAAGGGATGCCATTTGTACTTTCTTGAATTGTAGCATGTTTAGTTGATCCAAATGTGTTTGTCTAGAATAAAATAGGCTCATATATAGTACTATGTTATAGAACCATCTCTTCTCAAATTGACTTTTGGAGATGCTCGTTATGAAACACCCTGTATGTCATATGTTGAGCTACTGAATGGGTTGTTTCCAGGAATTGCTAGAACCTACTGGTTTGATTGGTGTTTCAAATTGATGGTTAAAGTATTTGATTGGATACTGGTCCCACTCAGCCAATTAATGCTTGCGGTCAATTGTTCCACACACATGTAGGCAAATCTTTATACGGAGATCCAACTGTATACGTTATCATCTACGTAAATATACCGTTTTGTAAGTTCACTGAACTTATAGTGATCATGAAAACAGTGAAATAATCAACTTGTTTATGTAATGACTCACTTTAAAGAATCATGACTCACTTTAAAGGATTGTGTTTATAATACACTACAACAACAAGGACACGGAAGCAAGCATTTAATTATAATGTGCATAATCTACACGTGCAGATGACAGTGCATTCAGTCTCTAGTTGATGGAGCTTTTCTATAACGGGAATAGTTATGTTCCATTGAGTACAATTTAAAATTGATTTTAGTAAATATAATAGTTCGACATGACCCTTTAAACTATATGTATACGTATAAGTTGTACTTTCACTTATGTGCGAAATCTCTCTATCAATACAGAAAACTCCCCTATGACTCCTGTATCTGTTTTTTTTATTTTTAGCTATTTTAGTCAACATTGATTTGTCCATCTGTCTCTAGTCCACATAATAGTGGCACGTTTTAAATCTTTGTCGATAGGATTCCCGTTTTAAGTAATTTCTGTTCAACATCAATACAGAAGGCTCCCCTATGACTCTTGGTTCAAAAGCTCCCCTATTTTCAAAATGGCCGACATTTTTGTCGAAATATACAAAAAATACACTTCAATCAGTCAATCCACAAAAGTGGCATGTTTTAAGACCTCGGTCAATAGGATTCCCGTTTTATTTGTCAGCCATTTTAGCCATCATTCACTTATCTCTTTTTGAGCAATACCATGTGAGCTCAGTACCCACGGTACTATTTATTATTAGTAGAGTTCATGTTTTGTTAGTATTGAACTTAAGACATTAGAGAGGTTACACACATTTGGGAGAACTTGAGTAATATTCGGACCAAGGAGTTGTTGTCCACCTCTCAACTGGTTTAACTTTGGACCTTATTAAAGATATCTTCCCTCACACCTTCATTCTCAATCAGGCAAATAAAGACCAGTGATGTGAAAAATAGCTAATAGGGGACCATAAGTTTAAACGTTTCAAGTACAAGTTTTTGAACCAAGATAACAGAGTTCTGTTTTGACCTCCAGTCAGTTTAACTAGTTCTACATATCATTTACATGACCGGGAACACAATGGAAATGGTCAGAATGACCATAAACATGATGAAATAATCTTTTCAGCCCTCTGAAAATGTGACTGAAAAATAGCTAAAAGTAGGCGCTCAGGAAAGGTCAATGAACAGAATCTTTTGATTTTTTCAGAAAATGTGTCCAATATATTCCTCTAAATGATACAATCTTTGAAATTTTAAAAAATTGTCTGAAACAATAATGGCTGTAGTAAATATGAAAATAGATCGATTTTCTAATTCAGTTTTTTCATTTTTTTCTTTTTCTAAGAATATGACATCAAATTTTTTAAAATGGTATCATTTTCTGAAAAAGTCAAAAGATTCTGTTCAGTGACCTTTCCTGAGCACCTACTCTTAGCTTATTTTCAGTCACATTTTCAGAGGGCTGAAAAGGTTATTTCATCATGTTCATGGTCATTCTGACCATTTTCATTCTGTTCCCGGTCATGTAAATGATATGTGGAACTACTGACTAGAGGTCCAAACAGAACTCTCTTATCTTGGTTCAAAAAATTCCAGCTAGGTTTTGTCATTTTTTATTTTGTCATTTCCTGTAGCTTCCATGGCACCTTAAATTTTAAACATTGAGAGTCTCTGAAATTGTTTAAACACCACAATTAATTCCATTGAGCAATTCCATGGCACCTTAAGCTAAGTGTGTATGTTTGGAATATTTATGCAATCCTGATTGGAGTCACATGTTGTATTTTCAACTCATTCCATATATGATGTGAATCATGAAAAGACTGAAGAGAATATTGGTTTTATAAAATGTTTAAAAATAAGAAAATTCAGTTATCTACTTATTTTTCTTCATGCATTTCTGCATTTATTCCCAACATTTATTTTACAGAGGAGACATGGTATATATATATGTTCAATACTACTCATGTATGTAATGCCTCATGTATCATCAGTGATAAACCAGATACAGAAAACCTGTTCAAAGTAAATATGCTATATGACAGCATAAAAATATCATATAGTGAGGTATTCAAAATATCTTAGGTGGTCCCATTGGCAAAGGTTACACACATACAAAGGTTTAACTGCACTCAAACTGCATCAAACAGTCAACTTGAGATATTTTTTAATTGATTGAGAAATGCAGGGAATATGCTCCATTGATTGAACGGGGCATTAGCCACAACCATCCATTCATGAAAATATGGGCAACTTGAAATAAATGTTATCTACATTAATGACATCTTATCTGGGTGTGCTGTACTAAAAGCATAGTCCCATTGGACCCCATTATATTAAATTATCATAATCCTAATCCGGAAGGAATGATTAAAATATTTTAAGTGATGAAACATATGTTATGGTACAATGTAACTTTGCATGTAAAAATGTAAAAAAGATTAATGGATGATGGTGAAAATAATGAATGTATTTGGAAAAAAAGCTTGTTAATGGGTGGATTAAACGCAGATTATGAGATAATCAAATTGATCTTGGAACCATTCTTTCAACTTTTCTAAAGATGATACATTGATACAGATGATACATTCATATGCATTTATTTTTTACAGCCAGAAACTACTCGCAAAAAAATTATCAACTGTCAAAAATCTGTTACACTTACTTCCCTCACCCTTTCTGTTAGAGAATCTATACACAATATTATACAGATACAAAAGTATTAGGTAATGGTGGAACGAAAACATTTTCGAAAAAATGCTATAGCTGCACATGGTATTTTCTGGTTCAAAATAAAGTATGAAGGTGTGTGTGCAATGTCCTTGTTTTTTTTCAGGAGAGCAACATTTCATTGTTTTCTTTTAGTAAACCTAGCTGGTAAGAGGTCAGTGGTAACTCCAGGAAATACTCAGAGGTTTCATTAACGGCGTCCTTCAATGGAGAGGACGTAAATCAAGATTGGGTGGACGTAAATTAAAAAAATGATTACGTTTTTGGGACACAATTTGAATTTCGTAAATCACTTCGTGAATCCACTTACCTCCAGTCTCTTTATTTCATCAGAATCCACTAAATAATTGAAGGAAATTCTATTTCTAAAAGAAATAAAATTTTCTTTCAAAGTTTCCTTCCCGGAAGTTGATTTCTGATCGAAATAGTACGAGGCATGTGATAGGACAAATAGTTATCTAATACTCGATATCCGAGCAGTATAATCAGTACGAGTCTTACGATTGGCCGCTAGCTGAGAACCCGATTTAAACCATTTTCTTTTGGTCAAGTGCGATCACAAGATCATTATTTAAGAATGCGCATGCGCAAGAAACTGCAAGTGATGGTATCTGTATCATTCAATGACATACTAGTTTCGCCAGAACACTGATTTAGACCGATAAATAGCAAAAGCGATACAAAATTTCATCAATTTTATTTCGGTTAGTGTAAAGCGTGACTTTGAATTCCCAGGAACTTTTTTTCAAGGGATGCAGTTTTTTGAGGGGAGATGCACATTTTGAAAATCGTTACGTCCCAGGGACGCAATCTTGGACAAACCTACTGAAAACACTGATACTGATATTTTATGAAAATGACTGCCTTTTCAATTTTTCAAATTTCTTCTCCTGGTTTCTCAACAACAATGTACTGGCATTGACCTCCTACCTGATGTACTTAATCAAGACAATGTGTTTATACTTTCCTGAAAAAGCAAAGTAATTCATACATGCCTTCATATTTTATTTTGTACCGGAAAAAAACATGGGCAGGTATAGCAATTTTTTCAAACATGTTTTCTGGATACCATCGCCTTAACATAGTGTCTAGCACTTACCAAACCAATCTTTCCATTCAGCCTGGGACTGTAACTCTGTTGTCATTTTGTCAAAGAAGTCATGAACTCTATCTGCTCGGTTATTCTGTAGTGCATTTATGAGGTAATACTTCAGCAGGCTCACTTCTAACTTGCGAATAGTTCCTGAATAAGTCTGATATTCCAATAGGGAAAACACTCTTTGGTCCAAATGACTCCAGTATTCACGTAAGTTTGACAAGTCATAATTGTTTATGTATGAGTTCAAAAGGTCTGTAATTTTATCCACCTACAATAATAATACAATTGATTTGTTTTAAACAAAACCCAATACCTCAGCTTAGCTGTACAGAATCTAATAAACAAGAAAATGCAGCAAAATCCTTGTAGTCGAGGTCTCCAAGTCAAAAAAGTTGCCTAGTCAAGGCCCTAATACCATCTGTTGATTATCCTAATTGTATGATAACTGTATCACTGGAAAGTGGTTTTAAAGTATGTGAAATTAAAAAAAACAACCAGAGAAAATTAAAAAAGATATTTTAAAGGAGCATGTAGGTTATTGCAAACAATTTCAAACGATTCTAACTTGAATTATTAATATTTTCTGATCATGAGCATGGGTGTATCTTTTAGATCCATTCATTATCTTCAAGAAAAGTATATATAATGATAATTTAGTTAATCAGACCTAAGTGATATTGAAGGGGCAATGGACCAATCAACATACTTTTTAAAAATGTTGACCTAATTTTCACCAAAAATGCAACCTTTTATTATATTGTTGAATGCATAATTATCCCAACGAACGAAGTTCGTTAGGGATATAGTGAAGCCCTCCGTCCGTCCGTCTGTCCGTCCATCATTTCGGTCAGTCAGTCAGTCAGTCAGTCAGTCAGTCAGTCAGTCAGTCAGTCAGTCAGTCCGTCCGTCCGTCCGTCTGTCCGGAAGATAACTCAAATACTAGTTGACAGATTTTCTTCATATTTAGTGGAAAGATGTATATTGGTGAATAGTTTTACGCAAAAAAAATTTTTTCAAGATGGCCGCCACTTTAAAAATGACGGGACTTTTTCGCAAAAATCATAAATTTTTCATTCTAAACCAAAGTAATTATTAATATTATTGTTTGAAATTTGGGTAGTGTATTCACAACATTTATCTATTTCACATATATTCCGTGTTTTTCATCCTGACCCCCAGGGGCCATGTATGGGGAGACAGGAAAACAGAAATTTTCGCAAATTTTTAGATCTTTCTGAAGTATAGCTTTATTATACTCAAATGAAAGGCAATTAAGAGTAGATTGCAAATATTGTATCTTTTTTCTGATTCGAGCCTCGTAAAATTCAAAATGGCCGTCTAATGTACGATTTTGCAATAATTTTTCGATCCCTTCAAAGTATGGCTATATTATACTCAAATTGAAGGAATTTTGGAGTAGATCACAATTATGGTATTATTTTTCAGATTTGTACCTCAGAAAATTAAAAATGGTTGCTTTGCAGGAATTCGCAATTCTAAAATCTAATTTTTTCATTTTCAACCAAAGTAATGAGTATGATTGATTGGAATTCGGTAATTGATATTTTGTTCTTTGGGATTTGCTACTCCGCGGAGTTGCCGTTATCTAGTTAGGATATGTTTTGAGACATGTTTGATTTCCTAAAAGGAAAAGTTGATTGCTCCAGGGACTTTAAAGATACTGAATTTGGATGACCAAAATGAACTGAAACCAATGGATAGCATGAGATTTTTCAATGGAGAAATAACATGGGGAACACTTATCTTAAAGCAATTAAGTTTTTCTTTCAAGAACTATTTGATACATCAAGATAAAGAGTAATGCATTAAACATTGTAAAAAATGATTGCATTTTTGTTGAAAATGGGGTCAACATCTTTGAAAAAGTGCGTTGATTGGTTGATTGCTAGTTAAATATATCTGAGTTTGTTTGACTTTATTATTACTGTATATAATTTTTTTTGAGATAATGAATTGGTCTAAAAGATAAACCTGTCTTCATTGTCAGAAAATAGTCATAATCTGAGATATAACCTTCTGAAATTGTTTGCGATAACCTACGTGCTACTTTAGATAAGGAAAATGGGGGTATAAACATGATAAATATGATAGACTTCCAAATCTCAGTTGTTGTAAAATGGTTTTCAAAATTGATTATTGAGGACATAGATAAATGGAAAATAATTCGAAAAGCTGAACTTTCCAAGTTAGGGATTAATTTTAATGTACTAAAAAGCAAAATAGATCTGGAAAACTTTATAGGTATTAAGAGTAGTTTTTGGAAAAGGTGGCTAGAAATATGGTTGACAAAATCTGAAAATAAAGATCTGTTAGAATGTGACATCATTTGGAACAATTTGGACGTAACTTTTCAAAAAAGAGTTCTTTATGACAAAAAATGGATTAGAGGAGGGATTAATTATGTGTCTGATTTTGTAATAGAAGGTAAATGGGGGTAATTCCGAACATGGGGGTAATTCCAAACACCTAAATCATCATACAGTGTAATTCATTATTTTATCGTTAGAGTGTTGGTATATATCATTAGATGGTATCTTTCAGGATATAAATAGAGGTAGTAGATGTACGATTATACAATTCAATAATTTGCTTGCCATTCTTTGCAACCTGTTCGGGTTTACCCCCCTTGTTTGGATTCAGACGTATTGACTCTAGTCGTAGGTCATAGGGTCGAAGGGTTTTTAGTTGCTTCCTGCGAAAGCTATGTGGATTTTGATATAATAGCTATCCCACGGCGCACTTGGACATCTGAATAATAGTGACCTTTAAAACATGAATAATGAGATCCGCAGCTTACTTTTGGTCTCTAAATGTGTCTTACATCAGTATCATCAATCTGTGCAAGTATTGCACGGATTGATGATCGAGTGAATGTTTTTTCGACTCATTTCCAATATTGGAATTTGGCAGAAAAAACATTCACTCAACTAACAATTACAGGTCTTGATCGAAAAGAAAGTACTTCAGCACTCCAATACTTATACACGGAAGGATGATAATGATGTATGACATAGTTAGAGAACAAAAGTAAGCCACGGATCAATGTATAATTCGTGTTTCAAAGGTCACTATTATTCAGCTGTGCATTTCTCCGTTGGAGAGCCATAAGTTTCAAAATCTAACATGGCTCTCGAAGTGAGCAAGTTTTTAGTACATTCCCTACATTTTACAAAACAAATCTTCTCACCATTTTATGCACATAAGTGCACTTTTTGTGCAAAACTGGAAGATGTAGACTTACTTCGGTCCAAAGCCTTCTCTATATTCTGGCTTTGAGGAGGAAGATTGAGCTGCCTTAGTATTATAAATATTGTAAATCATTGTGTCACACGCACAGTAAATATGGCATAATAATATGAAATATACCTTTATGTATAGATTTGAAGAACATCAGCTCACATCCCCGTCTGAATCTATTGTTATATTTGATTTCTTTAAGCGAGAATAATTTCAAATGTTATTCACGTCCAGAACCGGAAGCCATTTTTAGCTACAGCGAGAAAATTTCACCATGTGTCAAACTCCGAAATGAAATTTTGAAATATCTAAATCCAGACAAGCAACGCTTCATCCTAAATATGATTAATATTCTTAAAAATATTCATAAAATTTATTAAAAATGAGTTCTAGGTGCGTGTAGGTGCGTGTAGCACAGTACATACGAAATCAATGAAGTTTCGTCTAGCTGTAAGCTAGAGACTCGAGTAAATGTAGACAATGTGGGGAAGGAGTGATTCCTGTTTGGAAAATAACATTTGACTCAATCGTGAAATGCAGAAAAATTCCGAACATGCACCCTGGCCCACAGATGGCAGAATTTTTCTTAGGAAATAGATCTACATCCTAAATAAATACATGTATTTCTTTAGGATGTATCTTAGAAAAATTCTGCCATGCGTGCCCTAGACTATATCCTATTTAGTCTGAATTATATTCAGACTATAAGGCACCTATGTTAAAGTTTGGTAATTCCAAATATTTGTTTACATAGGAAGTGCTATTCAAAATGGCCGATTGGGTAAAATTAATTTGCACATTTGTTACTTCAACTAGCTTTATTTCCACTAGACAATATGCTGTGTTACTTTTTATTGCATTAATTGTACCTTACAATTTAATTGAAATTTTGTAATGTTTATTTTATTGAAAAAATGTTTCCCCCAATTGATAATTTTGTGCAAAAAATTTCACTGCAATTTCCACAGGAAATTAGTATATCATAACAGACTGACTTCTAGTCAGTCTGTTGGATACATACTAATCCGTGCCCTGGCCCAACAATTTTTTCTAAAAAATGTAAGCTTACAATCGTGTATCATCATAAGAGGCCAAAGTTATACTCACTCGAAATCCCTTGTCTTTATCTACTTTAAGCTCATATTCATATGTTTTTAGTGTGCCTCCCAATCCTCTAAATAGTAAATATTCTCGAATAATATCATCCATTCTCTCAACACCACCGGAAGCCATCAGATATGGTGTCACTCCTGTAAATAGCACTTCCGGGTTAGGACCAGAGTACGACGTCTTCTGTGTTTCACGTTACAAAAGCCGCTAGCGCCTTTCGACCATCTCTATTGCCACTTTGGAGAAGCTGGTGAATTTGACGCGTCATCGTGTGAATGACGCGATAGCGCTAAAATATATCCATAGCGTTTTGGAAGATCGCTTGCCATTTCATTAATACTGACCCAAATTTTATCATCTTTATACGAGCATGTTCCTGAAGATGTCCCCTATCAAATGGTACAAGAAATTTGATGACAATTAAAATATCTACGCTACAATCACTGTGTACAAATGAACTTTTCATTTTCTAAAAGGTTTGTTTACCTTGGCAACCTGTACTTTTCACGCTTCTATCTTTGCTTTTATTCCGTTTTGCATCCGGTTTTTTGATAAATAAGAATCATTAGATCAATATCTAACAAAAGAATCATCAATGGGAATTCTAGGTGAAGTATATCTCTTCATCTAGGCCGAAACATATTTTTGGGGGGGCCCAGAAATATATTTTCTGATTTTTACGTTATATTTTCCCGGGAACCATTGCTCCTTTAGACGTAAGTAAATCGTATTCGACTAACTATTCCAATGTACAGATGTAAGAAAGTTGGACAATATGCTATGTAAGGCCATAAGAAGTAGATTCTTTGTTTTGCATGCTGGAAAAATCCAAATCATGCAAGGTTGCAAGGAAAACAAACACAAGAAAAAACACAAGCTTGTTTGCTGAGAAATATATACATTTTATGGGCATAAAGAGGGATGACATACCAATTTGCAGTTATTACAAACACATATCTATACATTTTATACAATATACTTAAACATAGCTATTATTCAATGGGAGAAATAATGCATTTTCAACAGTGGCGGAGGAACAATATACGCCAAATCGCCAGTGCGTAGTATTGAAAAGTGAGAATAAAAAAGGCTTATTAATTTTTCCTATGTTCTTTATATATGTTTCCTATGTTCTTTATATATTTTCTCATTGTGAATAAATTGTAAAAGTAATCTCGCGCACACTAGCCTAAAGCAATGTTTTTTTTGGATACCATATGATATGCTCGATTTTTCAATAGTACTATTTTAATAGATTTTTGTGCCTCAATGTTATTTTTCTAACCTGGGCCTCAGATAAATAACACATTTTGAAAACTGAAATTCACCAGAGTCTAAAATATTGAATTCGTTTTAAAATATTGAAAGTTACCTTGTTTCTAATATTGCAGAAAATGCAAAGTAATCATTATTGCTCTAATCACTGAACAGATTTTATAAAAATCGAGCCACTATTGACTTTCTTATGAATTTTAAAAGTGAGCTATACTACAATAGCGCCAAATATTCGTGAATCGCGTTCTTTTTACGAATTTGAGAGAAAAACTGTTTTTTACTACTTGATGAATACCTTTGCAATTTTTGTGCATTTCCGCAATGCTTATACAGCACTTATCTATTTTCTTGCTAAATCACTAATTGTTATTGGTAGTACTTCTTGAAATATGAATGTTGAAGAAAAAACTTGAAACTGTTGATTATTCAATTACGCGTTCCATTGATTTTAATGAGTTTTGGCGATACCTGCTATCTTTGAAAGTACAACTCAGTTCTGGAAAGGTTTTGGCACCCCCAAGTCACGTTTACCTTGATTTGACCTTTGTGGAGGGTGGAAGGGTGGTTATTTGGTCTTGCGAATTATTGTTATAAAAAGGTTGCAGACATTAGGGTCATTGATCACGAATATGTTTCTTTGAAACGATTAATCACACTGCGTTTCTTTACTCTGTATCGTCGTATTGCACGATTCACGATGGAATCAGACAATAATATGTATCTAAATTCATTTATTCAGAAATGGTAAAAAAATCTCTCATTGTTATCTGGAAATTTGTTGTCTATATTGTTCGAGAAAAAATAACATTTACACATTAGAAAAGTGAGAATGAGTTGTGTCGAGATTTAAAAGACCGGCTTTCCATAGTGATTTTATGTGATGAAAAACATTCGAACATTTTAAAATTAGAAAGGTATTGCCTTAAAGTGACGTTTTACGAGCATAAAATAGGCGTTTTGATATAGAAGATTTGACACAATTGTTTCATTTGGCGTTGTGTTGAATTTACACCTTCCTACGCCATGAACGCTCCTGTTTCTCCCTAATATAAATAATAGTAATTAACAACAATTTTTTTTATATTTGTTTAAATTACGTTCAATTCTTAGAATAATGACTCCAAAAATATGGGGTCACCGAGCTAATTTTTTTTCTACAGCCAAATCAAAATCATATCCCAAAACACCAAAAATCACATGCCCTTTCTATTGTGTATTGTAGGTAGTCTAAATGATGGCCCAAAAGCGCTAGTTGAAAGTACTTATACATGTACAGTTATGACATAGGCCTAGGGATAAATTTGGTACCGTTGGAAAGCTCATAGTGCCTAGTTTTGAGATTCACTTGTTAAAAATTATGAAAAGTGGACCTCAAGTGCCTCAATGCCCATGTCAATAGTAACCAGAAAATAATGACCAGAAAGTGTTTTTTACACATGACTCCCCGAATATTTTTTCGATTTTGATAAAATTTATATCATATTAAAGATAAAAAAAGAGCTCTATTTTGCAAAATTATATTTATGCATATTAGCACTAATTGATTGCGACGTCATAACTGTATTATTTTGTGTTTTTAAATAGAAGAGTATATTTTCTATTTTAATGAGAAAATCACCACACTAATCAGTAATTTCAAGTTCTTTCCAACTTATACTTTATTAGTAACAAAATTCTCATTCATTTCTTCAAAAATGACACCCAGAAATTTATTTTATCTTATAGTCAAAATACACCCAAAATCATTTTGGACCATTTCCAGTCAATAAGTCCAGTCCTTTATTGTCTAAATTGCCAGAATTGGCTATGGATCATTTAGTATCGATATTATTCTTTTGAAAAGTTTCGTCATTGTAATACTATTATAAAAAAAACAAATGAATATTGTAATTGATGTAGAGCCTACTGCTATGACAACCAATAGTTAAGTCTATTTACATTATGTACATGCAGGGCCATAGCCAGCGTGGTTCGGTGGGTTCCAGCGAATCATCTTGCCAAAGATTGATTTTGGTCATTTTTGGGCCAAAATGGTCAAATGTGAACCCCCTGGCATTTTTTAAAAAGTGACCCCCTAATTGGCAAAAGCTGGCTATATAGGTCTGACATGTATAATAAAATCATGTACATGACAAAAATATGCATAAAATATAGATTTATTTTTATCAGAATAACTACACACCACATTTTCAAAATCCCGAAGAAGAATAAAGTGTTCTGTAGTTCATAATTAAATCACTAGTATTTGTAAATATGGATTCATGGATATCCTGTACATAGCTACATGTGTTTAGGAATGGTGTTTACAAGGAACATATTTTCTTGAGCTGTTGAGAGATATGGTCATTAAAACAGATGTTGTTCTTTTTGTTCTGTGTCCATTGTCTATATTCTGAATGCCATAAATACCATAAATCCAAAGAGAGACAGAAAAATTAAAGTAAGTCAATGTGCTCAGTAAGTTCCACTACTGCCATGGACTCGTTTGTCAAACTCATTATTGTCTCTCTGGTCATAGTCTCCTGTAGCATGTGCTTACATACACTGTAAAAAGGCTCAGTCATACAAGGCTATAGTTCACTTCGAAGGCCCCTGATGGATCACACCTGAAAGTGAATATCACACAAAAGTAACAAATTGCATGTATCACTATGATATAAAAGAAATATGAATGCAGTTACTTCATTCAAGCTTAGCATTGTCTAAATTGGTATTCCAATCATGGTGTTAACAAGACATTAACATGACAAAATCTCATCAACTAGGCGCTCACAATATTATGAGTTCAATCTTAAGTCAGATTTGAATTTCTGAGAACTTGTAGATGATTTTGAAAAAATAAATTGGTCAATTTGAAACAAGTAGAAAAAAAGACTTTTTTGACCCCGAGAAAGTAATTGAAGCTCATATCTAAAGTCTGATTTGAACTTCTGAGAACTTGTAGATGATTTTGAAAAAGAAATCGGTCAATTTCAATTTGACCTTGAGAATGTCATTGAAGGTCAAATCTTTTTTGACCTTGAGAATGCCATTGAAGGTCAAATCTATAGTTATATTTGAACTGTTGAGAACATGTAGATGGTTTTGAAAAAAGGAGTTGGTCAATTTTTGAAGTTGGACCTTTTTGACCTTGAAAAGGTCATTGAAGGTGAAATCTCAAATCTAAAGTCAGATTTGAACTTCTGATAAATTGTAGATGATTTTGAAAAAAATTGGTCAATTTGAAACAAGTTGAAAAAGACCTTTTTGACCTTGAAAAGGTCATTGAAGGTGAAATCTCAAATCTAAAGTCAGATTTGAACTTCTGATAACTTGTAGATGATTTTGAAAAAAAAATTGGTCAATTTGAAACAAGTTGAAAAAAGACCTTTTTGACCTTTCTTGACCTTGAAAATGTCATTGAAGGTCAAATCTTAAATATATAGTCAGATTTATAATTCTGAAAACATAATGATGATTTTGAAAAAAATTGAAGTCAGTCTAAACAGTATTTGTTAAGTTATTGGAAGTTGTAAGAATTTGTTACAGACACAAACCGCCAACAATCAACCGCCAAGCACCAACCACCATCAAAAAAGAAAAATTGAGACCATAACAATATCACAATAAAAATTGTAATCAGGACCAAATTATGTAGGCCTATATGTAGTTTTCTTTTTAAATAGGGCTAGAAAATGAAGAATTATCATTACTTAAATAAGATGCAAACATTTTCCTTATAATGTTATTTTGATAACAAAGATGATGAGTTTATCCCATACAGCAAAACCTGTATATCTGAACACCTGGCTGATCCAAACACCTTCCAATGCTAACACATTTTCTGGCTCCATTTTTCCTCCCATTGACTTGACTCCCATGTTAAAAAAACCTTGAAACCCGACAACGTCCTAATTTGAACAGTGAACACTCATATTTGAAAAGTTAACATGTGTAATCCGAACACTTTTCACAATTTTCTTACAAAACTTGTCAAATATTGATTTGATATCAAAACTTCTGAGAAATATGAAATGTCCTCAGATTTTGGATGCCATGAAGCCAGATGGTCAATAGGAATAATAATATTCATTGAGAATGCAGAAATATTTTTTAAAAATCCACAATCTTGCGGATAGAGAAACTTCGAAATCAATACATTTCTTCATCTGAATGCTTTCTGGCCATTCCCAATGGTGTTCAGATAATACAGGTTTTACTGTATATTACTTGATCTCTTACCTCTGTACCTGTAGCTAGTTTTGTATAATGTCAAACAGTCTCAAATGACTGTTATTTGCCTTAAGTCATCTTGTTTACTTCATCACTCAGGTACTTAGGCATAACCATCCACCAAAGCCAACCTTCTGTGCACCCAAGGCATCTTGGAGACAAAGCCTGTAAAACATAAATGAATATACTAGTATGTTGTTAATTTACATAGATACAGGGTGGGCCAATAACAATTGGAACATTTATTCAATTTTCTTTATTATTGCAGTTCAATTCACAAAAATTCAGATAAAAGTGAAAATGTTGATTATAAAAATGTGTTTGTTTAATTCTTTTTGCTTGTCACTTGATCATGATCTGTATTCTACATGTGTCATGACAAATCTCCAAATTTTCTCTGTTTGAGACATCACTGCTGAAATATCTTTTTAACATACAATATGTGCCCTACAAAATGGTCTCAACACAATTTCCATCAATTCAAACATATGTTGTTATCTCTAGAAGTTAGACATATCTCCCTCGGTTAAAGGTGGAACAATAAGTGCAGATCATCGACCAGTGTCAAAATATATTTGAGTTTGGATATTTCATCAAGACTAACATGTTTTTATAATCTACAAAGAAACCCCCTGGATGAACATTATTTCAGCTGATATTCCTCTTGAAACGCGGTGAATCTTAAAAATTTATAAGTGTGACTCCCTTTATCTGTTTATAGCAGCTTTGAACTGAATTTACACTTCTTGATGCTGGAATTGATAGTTTATCCATACATTTTCAGAAAATAGGTATGTCAAAGAAGACGTCAAGCCAAATATTGACCTGATAGCTCAGAAAAATAAAAAAATTTGAAATTTCTCTCTAGAGTCCTTGTTGCCCCTTTAATATAGCTATCTGACCTCAGCTTTTTTTCAAAATTTTATAATAGATGTGTAAAATGTCTTCCTTAATTCTAAGTTTAATATAAGCCAACCCTACTTGAAAAAGCACTGCATTTTTAATAATACTAATGCCAGTTTCACCACCAGGTGGCTAACTTGGGGTAAATAGCATGCATGGCAGGTATAACAGAAAGCTCCATTAAACTTGAATGTTCATCAGTTGATCAATTTTCATATTTAACTTCTTGAATTCTGAATATTTAATGATGTAAATCAAGTATTTCTATCTCATGTATCTAGACAATTGATCAACATTGAATATATCAAACCAATTGTCTGCATTTTGCAAATATTATGGAAACGATTATATGGTTATAGCTATCATATTGTGAGAGAAATGGTCTGGCCAGGAATGTCCCTTTAATGAGCCAATATCTCTTAATGGAATGAATTTGAAAAAATGTTATGACTAATTGTTACAGTAACACTGAATAATTTACTAGTAAGAGCGCTGGATGGGTAACCAATATTTTCCCCTCTTTAAAGGACACCTATAGTATTTGACTTGTCTTTCCTAGAATAAGTTAAAAATACTTAAATGTCTTAGGGTGTTTCATGACCTACCACAAATTATTTGCATGAGTAAACTGACTGGGATATTTCTGAGTTTTTAATTCCCAATCTTTCATACTTTCAGACCTATTAAAATAATGAATTTTAATGGTCATTAAGAACCCCTACTAGGCTAAGAGTGTTGCTAGTAAATATATATTACATGAAGTCTAGTTTACAAACCTCTATGAATTTAATGGAAGTAGTGTATCCATTGGTGTTGATATTTTTCCACCATCTTCATCATTGGGATTGCATGGACATCAATCGAAAACCTTCTAGTTCTAGTATAGGCCTAAGTCTCTCATTTCTGTCATGTCTTATTCTTTCATCTGCAAGAATCACATATACATGTATATATATTGATTGCACATTGGATGTGGTGAATATTTTAAAAGTACTGTACATAAAAAGTGTTTTTAGTTTCAATTTGTAGACCCAAAATTGAGACAAATCAAGTCTTAAATCATGTATTAATTATTTGGGTATTTCTTGGTTTTATTTACAATAGGCCTATATAATAACACTACATGGCTTAAAGTCTTCAGGAATTTCAGGAAAAATGGACCAAAATCTAACCTCATTGAGTATTTGAGTTCAATACAAATCTAAATTTATTTTTAAGGGGGGGGGGGTTTCAAAATAAAGGTCATATTTGTAAATATTTTCCTAAGATAACAATTTTTCCTCCAAATTAGAAAGTAAATATAATGGGTCTACATTACTTTCAAAAGCACTCAATCAGTTTTTCAAAAATTTCTTGGGAGAGGAAAAAATCCAAAATAACATAATTAGGCCTACCGCAGATATTATTAAAGATTTGGTTTAGATACGTCAAATTGATTTTGGTATTTATGTTTGTCATTTGAATAGGCCTAATTTATTTTTCAAGGAATTTCATCACCTAGTAAAGTACTTCTAACATGTCTAGATCTATGAAGGAAATTGATCTAGAAAAAAGGCCAAAATCACATTTTTAGCATCGTCAAGGGTATGACAATTGAATTTGCGAAAGAAATATTGAAAGTTTGACTTCGATATCGAAGGAAAATATTGGTACGCATCTTTACTTTTATTTTATCGACATTTTAGATTCATTCATTACCATATTTGGTATTGAAAGGAGTCAAAGTGGCTCGTGGACCCATATTTGTGATCCCAGACCATATAAAGTCCGCTCGATGAAGAAAAATACAAGGAGTTGGGCTTAGCAACTGCACATGCAATGAGATAGGACCATGCTCCATAAAAAATAAGAATATGAAAAAAAAACATAAACATCCTTAGCACACAGACGCTGAAAACTGAAAAATCATTCGGAAAAATGGACCAAAAATAACCCACAAAATTATTGATAAATTTTACAGATTGAATGCAATATTGATCAAATTTTGACATTTGTTCAACCATACCATGGTCCTAACATAGACGAAAGGATATCTTCCAAAACCAAAGGGACGCTGGTATAATTCAACGAACGCTTGCCGTAAGAAAACACGTGTACATATTTTGATCAACTTCAAGTGGATTTTTTATAAAAAATATCCAGAAATGTCCATATAATCTGATATCATTCTAAAGCTATTGATCCCAGGAATACAAATAATTAGTTCATTTGAATCTTACCTCAATACAACTGAAGATATTGGGAGAAATGTGCGGAGCGTGCACATTCCGGTTTCCATTTTAGGAAGTGTCGTGGCGTCTCATTTCTTGTTATATCCGGGTCAATACGTTGCATAGCAACTCTCATTGTACGTGCGTCTCTGACGTGAATATGATAGCTTTCGCGCACCACATAAAGTTTGCGCTTCTACAGCGTATTTAAGAACCTATAGATCATTTTCCAATGAGTAAGCTCTCAACCATTTCAAACTGGCAAGAGACATGGCCGAAAGGGTTCCGCGGAGTAATTCTTCCCCTGGTTAGGACGGTGTTTTTTATACTTTAAAAACGAAGCCATGCCAACTTCAATTGTGTGTATACTGTATAGTAGGTTTAAGTGTATGCAATGTGGCCATTTGAGGTATGTCTGTAAAGCTGAGTCCAAGTACTTTCTAAATGTGCCATTTTAAGAAAAAAATCGCAAGAATATAGTCCCGTAAACTGGAACTACTTTACTCGTTAATTTTCATCGGTGAAGTAGGGATTTTACCTAAAAATGAGTCCCTATGTTGGCGTAGTGATATTTAAAAATCGAGACGCAAACCCTATGTTAAATATAGTGTCAAGATGAAGGTTATGTACAGTGTGTCTCAAAAAAAGGAAACCAGCAATAGATTGCTTATTTCTCAAATATGAATAATAATAGGAAAATTTCACAGCTACCATCTGATAGGTTATGATGTCCTTTTTCTTATGATACCAAAGGTGTTTATTTTTCTTCACGGATGACTGAGTTCTAAGAGATTTAAGTGACCATGTCAGAAATTGGTTTGTGCCACTTTTTCTGTCATGAATGGCTGAACAATGAGGGATTAAAATGGCTATGCAAGACCATGTCCTATTCGAAATACACATTTCTGAACAAGCATTCAACATAGCAAGTTCATGCAGCTGACCCAAGATCAAAGAATATGCATAGTAAGTGAGTGGCTCAGAAGTGGGAGCCTTCAGCAGTTTGCTTATCAGTTTAGAGTACGCCTTGAACCACGAGATTGAGTGGCCACCGAGATCCCCAGACCTGACACCCTGCGACTTCTTCCTTTGGGGTTATCTCAAGGGTAAAGTCTTCACAACACCACCAAGAGACGTTGATGATCTAAGGGCCAGGATTGTCGCAGCAGTGGAGGATCTAAGGGGACAGAGAGACATCATCAGGGATGCAGTGCGTGCGATGAGATCAAGGGCAGACATTTGCATTGAAAGGAATGGGGGTCATGTTGAAGGATACTGGGGTTAAAACAACTTTGAATGGACATTGGGATTTAAAAGGGGTGTTAAATATGATATGTGTAATGTGTAATATCCTGATGTTTGTTGTTACTTATCACTTTATTATGATGGTGAAATTGACTTGGCTGAAAGTGGTACAAACTCAGACAACTTTGGTATCATAAGAAAGAGGACATCATAATCTATCAGATGGTAGCTGTGAAATTTTCTTATCATTATTCATATTTGAGAAATAAGCAATCTATTGCTGGTTTCCTTTTCTTGGGACACCCTGTATAGGGGAACGCAGAAATATAGTCATTGTATGGGCTAGTTCGTTCGAAAATGGCGATATGTACCCCAGAACTTGAATTTTGTGATTTTTTTCAATATTTTTCAATGATTTACCGTAGTGACACCATATTGCAACTTCCGCGTTTTGGGGGATCGATCATATTTAATCATTTTCATAAATTCTAGATTTTATTTCACTGTTAAAATGCTCATTTGATTACAAATAAACTTCATTTATAGATTTGAAATGATCAAAAGTACCAAGTAAAGTATGTATGAATACTTTCTGTTCCCGGGATGCTCAAATTTCGTTCGGTGTATATATCACGGGTTCAAAATGGCAGCCACCGTGGTCTAGAGCTTCATTTCAAAATCTGAATAATTTTAGTCACTGTGAGTGTAATCTCTGTGATTGGAACAATTATTACACAAGGAACATAAACATTGTCATTAAGGAGTGCTCTAGAGATCCAAATTTGAAATTGATACGGCAAAAAGTGAAAACTCTTTGGAGAAACTGATTCAATTGAATTTTGGTTCCAACAAATTGAATTCAAAGGTAGATCTAGATATAATGAATTCGTCAGACAGTCTGCAGATAATATTATCCAAAATAAAGGAGGTTATTGATCAAAATAATTGTAATCAGAAATCTGTTGACATTATGAATGAGTTTCTACACACATCTGATGCATACTTTATTTTCCCAAACAAGTCAAAATCTGCAGTTGACATCATTGAAAAATATTGTTCGATCTTCAAACTACTTTTGAAGAAAAGCATACACACATTGTCACACAATGAAGATGTCCCATTGGAAAGATCAGACTTCATTGATATCAGCGCATTCTCTGAAAAACTGTTAAATCTGTTGACTGATTATTTTAAAATGTTATTGACTATGGAAAAGGAAGTTAAACAACTCTATAAAGAGCCACTCATGAAATCTCTTGCACCGTCAGCCTTTATTTTAGCTTCTAGTTGCTGCACTCCAAGTTTATGGTGGAATGAAGAAATGCATAAATCTGCACTCATGTCTTATAGATCACATAATCAATCTCTGTGATGCAAATGACTTACTGGAATTATTAAGTGGAACAGAAAATACTCTTTTCCCTGATGGATTAATTGCGACTGTCTTAAAACAGCTTCAACCAGCCCTAAGTAAGGAATGTTGGAAACGAAATCCGATGGCCTTGCATTGCTATAGATGGTGCTTATTCAAAATGAGTCATCCACATCTTGGTGAATTTATTGACCATGTACTTCCACCTGCGTTACTTCTCATCGATGACTATCTCCCAAAAAACAAAATATCAGGAATAAAGTGTGTACAGCACATAGTAAACAATGTAGCCCCTACACAGTTGTTAAGGTATGGCAGGGCAGATGTTCTCTTCTCAGCTCTGGAAAGCCAACTGTACACTAATGATCAGAAACTTCTCAAAAATGTGCATGCCTGTATTTTGAGCATTATTGAAATTCTTGATAGATCAAAGATGGAAAAAACACTAAGTGTTACCCGTTATGACAGCATTCTAAAGACAATTTTGACAAATATGGAAATTGATGACAAAATAAAATTTCGACGATTTTACTCAGGGATCCTTATCCAATACATAGAACAGATGAAACTGTCCATTGTCCGCTTCCTCAAACGGCTGCTTCCAATAGTTGCTAACTATTTAGAAATATATGATGGCCCAGAAGAAACATCCAGAATCAACATTCTAAAAGCACTGAACTTGACAATCAAATATGCCTGGCCAAGGATTCCACATCACTCAGATGACATTCTGAAATGCCTCCTGAAGTTTATGGATGATATATCTACAGATGATTCTTTAACAAGTTTAACAGTTAAACAAATGTTGATGCAAGAGGCTCAGGATGTGTTAATTCTGTTGAACTATTCAACTGGTGAAAACATTGTCAAATTATTGGCAGGAATTCAAGATGTTCATGACAATGAAATTTTTAAGAATGCTATTGTAAATGTTTGCACATCTACAAATAAGGAGTAAAATATGAAAGTATATGAACAGATGAACTTTTTAGTAAAGTCTGGTCTTTGCCAAGATACATGTATATCCATAAGGTTTTAAAGGCACCTAAAAGATCAGGTGTAGTGTGTCAAATGGTTTTTAGAAAGGCACATAGATACAACATTTTCAATAAATTAAAGGAATTCTATGCGATAAACATGATAAAAATAACAAGTTTAAAATTCATTATTCTCGGAATTCATGAGCTATGTAAACTAAGTTAGATGTACAGTAATTGCACTTACCTGATGTCATATTTAGATGAGATTTTCAATTACTAGGATCTTTGTCATCGGCAAGCTGCGTATCAACCTCTTTTATATCAACCTGTGAAATTGGTGAATTCCATAGGCACTGCTACCCACCTAGTTACTCAGACGTATCGTCAGTGTATCATGGCTGAACTACTTCCGGGATTTGAATTTGGTAAGATATTTTTATTTCTCGATTCACATCTACTTATAAGTAACGATGTGGATTATAATTTGGCTCGAAGTTATGGGAGATAGTCTAGTTTGAGAATGTGTCGATGGTTTTAGGTTTGGTATGTTGACAAAGACGCATTTCACATATTTAGTCCCTCGCTTTTGTTACACTGACGATCGGCATTAATATTGCCAATATTACACTGATATTGGTCGTTTGTCAGTGTAACAAAAGCGAGGGACTAAATACGTGAATTGTGTCTTCGTTAACATATAAAACCTAAAACCATCGACACATTCTCAAACTAGACTATCTTCCTTAACTTCGAGCCAAATTATTATCCACAATGTGACTTATAAGTAGGTGTAAATCGGGAAATAAAAAAATCTTACCGAAACCTAGTCCCGGAAGTAGTTCCGCCATGATACACTGACGATACGTCTGTGTAACTAGGTGGGTAGCAGTGATAGGTGAATCAGTTTAACAGTCTTCATTCGAACGAAAAATAAGCCAGGTGTATGAAAAATTGAAGTCAATTCGGCGATTAAAACGTAATCACCATGCATTTTACACTCTATTCCATTCAGACAACGATAGAAAATTGTTTCATTTTGGTGAGTGATAATAGTGTAAACCATGGGCTTTCAACTAGTTGAAAGCCCATGTGTAAACACAATAAAATCAATCACTTAGGCCCAAAGTAATGCTTTAATACCTTCAAAAGGAGTGGTATCGATATGGAGAACTTTTTGAACACACGTTTCTCTTAAACCAGTCATAAAAAAATCTAAAAATTTAACACATCGACAATTGAATGGTCATCTTTTCAATGGTAACAATATAATTTAAAAATATATACTAGTATACGAGGGTTGATCATAAAGTTCTCATAATATCTCTCTAATTTCTTTATTTTTTCAATATTTTCCTATAAAATTTTCACAGAATGTGCAGCATGGAATGTTTTATTAATCCAACAAACAATATTCAGAATAACAGAAATATTAAATAAGAAATGGTTGTCATAGTAACTTGAAATCAAGGCACCCGGGGCAAATAAAAAAAACTAGCTAGAATAGCCCCCATTAACCATGTTTAAATACATAATGAGTTGTCAAATGAGCTATCAAACACATTAAATTGTCAAACAATATGGGCTCTTGACTGTTGTGAACTATTATAATGGTCATGTGAATTGTATGATCTCATAATGGATGATGGTTATGCTTCATTAGAAGTGACTGTTAGACCCCGTGACTGTTCTGTCAGATATCCCGAGGAAAATTGATTTTGCCCCTTTAGTTCATTTTTAAT